CAATGAGAGCGAGCGGGGCTGATGACTCACCAGTTGCCGGGCAGACCCGCAGCAGGCAGTGTTCCCCACCTGGACCCGCCCTCCCTGCCCAGGGCCGGCCCCGCCGTGGGGTCCCCCCAAGTCCCTCCCCAGTGCCCCCATGAACTGGGCTGGGTTTAACTGGGAAGCTTTACTGGGAACACTGGGAGCAGGGGGCAGGGGCAGAGTGACAGCAGGGCTGGGGGGACACTTGACCCCCCCCAAAATCAGCATCATGATGGAGCGGGGGTCCTGGCTCGGCCCGAGGCCACGGGGAGCGGCTGCGGCCGGCGGCGGCTCAGGAGCTCTGTGGGCAGAGAAAAGGGGGTGACACCGGGCTGGGGGCCCCAGGGGAGCACACACATTCCAGAGGAGGGGGGACACGACTCACGGGACCCCCCAGACATTCTTGCGCAGGTAGAACCCGATCCCCAGTGCCAAGAAGACAAAACCCAACTCAGGAGTCTCCAGTTCCTGTCAGCATCTTGCTGCGGCAGCATCCAGCAGCATCTCTGGGGGGTCTGCAGGGGTCAGGACCCCCCAGAAACTCTCACAGGCACCCAAGCCTTTTCAAGCACCCTCCTGGTCGCTCCCAGCCTACTCAGGATCCCTGAAACCTCCCTCTTGATCCCTTCCTCACCTCCTCAGGACGCACCAAAGCCCTTCCTGTCCCTCTCAGTATCTCACAGCCTCCTTCCAGTTGCCCCCCACTGCTCCAGGACCCCCTAACTCTCTCTCAGTCCCTTCTCAGCCCCACCAGGGTTCATCCAGACCCCTCCCAGTCTCTTCCCAGCACAACCAACCTTGTCCCAGCCTCTGCTTTTCCATCCCCAATCTCCATCCAGCTCCTCCAGGCTCACTCATATCCCTCCCAGTCATACCCAGCACCCCCAACCTCCCTCCCAGTGTCCACCAGGACCCCCAGAACCCCCTCCCACCCTCACCAGTATCCTCCAAACCCCTTCTTAGCCCTTCCAAACCCACAACCTCCTCTCCCGGTTTAAACCAGGCTCTCTCCAACTCCCTCCCAGTTGCTCCCAGCACATCCCAGTGGCACTCCCAGTGCCCCCAGTTCCTCCCCTGTACGCTAGTGCCAGCTCAGGGGGTGCTCCAGTCTGACGTGTTCTACCTGGCAGGTGGATGTGAGCTCGTGCTGAGAGTGGGGAGGTTTCCAGTAGCACCAGGATCTGGTGGGTCCAGTCCCCATTGGGGACCACGTTGTTGGCCACCACAGAGAGCTCCTGCTGGCCCTGGAACCACCTCAGCTGGGTGTGGGCAGGGTAGAAATCCACCAAGGAGCAGAGCAGGTG